TAAATAAATTCTTATCTTTCTATTCATGGACCCTCCGTGAGGTGAGGCACCACTCTATGATGTAGAGAAGGAATGGCTGTTTCCAAACTCACTAAGGAATGTTCCGTGCATGCCAAACATCACAAAGCTGTTACTTGGAACGCCATTCAGTCGGACTGGACGGGCGTTTTCTCTTAGACTATTGGTAAGCGTAGGCAATAGCTAAAACCATTTGAAAAAATTTCATTCAGGGATAAACTGCCGAATGAAGAAACAAAAGCACACACATAGCATCAGTTTCAAAGACGACGGATGACAGATTGACCTTGAAGGTGATGGATTGGTGCAAAATGGCCTGCAATCGTCTGGTTGAAAGAGATTCAGGTTCAAATGGGATGATGTGCTTAACGAAAGATACGAAGAAGGAATAGAATCGGTCAGTTGTTTTGTAGCTTTAAGACTGTTTGTGAAAGATGGGAAGTTTCGATTTCTAGGCTAATATTTGTCATACACTCGTACTTAGTGTTGTAAGTGGCCAGCTGAAACTGTCACGTGTAGCAAGTACTAATCTCAGAATACGGAAATGACCCGTTGCGTGGCATCCAACCTCTCAGTTAAACACTCTCGAATTAACCAAAGCTGTCTGAAGTTTTTTTAGATGTTGCATAAATGCAGTATTGCTAGAAGAGATGCAGAGATACTTCAGCAGCATCGTATATGAGGAAAATGTTCCCATACAACGCCGTTCGTTCATCTTCAATATTAAGTTAGAAGACTTGCTGTTTTGGAGTACGCGATGATATTGTCGTGGTATGCGGATTGGTCACTGTTACCTAACGGTTTCCGTTCCGTATGCAGCCCAGCTGCGACAGCCGGCTTCTCTCTCAGTGCTTGGGAGTCAAAGGTTTAAAGGAACCAGTTCTTCACAGATGTTTTGTTTGTGGAACAGATGGGGCAAGCAATAGAAAGATGACCTTTTTAAGCATCTCAGCTCAACATTTCTTAGCAGTGGCACAATGTAACCATAGTTAAATAGGATGATAGCCGTAGCGTCGACTGGAAACCTGTATAATATTTGGGTGAGAAAGGAATTCCTCTTCCCATGAAAATTCTTCTGTGCCTTAACCCTGTCAGGTCACTGCTGTTGTACCGCATGCCGACCGTCGTTGTAACGAATAAGTAAGAACGACAGTTCAGACCGCGTACAACAGCACTGGCTTCGATGTACATGATGTTATAAAAGTAAAATTGCGGAAGCGCGCAAAGAATGACTCGTTTTTCTTCTGTACCAGGTGACCTCCGTAAATGTGAAGGTTAGAAAAGGTGGCTGGATGAAATGTTGCTTTCTTCCGGGTTTCTTATTTGTTGAAATACGCTTGAAACGAGCTGAATTGTTTAACTTCAGTTCAGATTCAAGTGGTAGATTCTAAGAGGCCTTTCAGTTATTTACTAAAGAATGATGCAAACGAACATGATTATTATATAGCAGGAGCCTGTACTGATTTACAGCCATTGTCGCTTATTAACATTTTCGAGATTAGACTCGTAATTCGGTTCAGATCAAATATTTGGAAAAGTTACATAGGAAGATAGACGTGATTGTCCGCGGAAAAAGACGAACTGTGTGTAATGGTTCCACTTGTTTTCTTCGTTTTCCGTGCCGTGCCGCAAGCCGTCCATCCCGCACATGGCACCGGAGGAACAGGACGTGATCAGAGAGAAGCCCCGTTCTGCCAACATATCGAAAGCTTGCTCGAGGCTGTTGTGTTTCAGGAACATTCGTGAGGTGTAGCGATTCTCTCCTCCTCTGTCCGGATCTCGGCTTTCATTCAGCGTATCACCGAATACCTCACGGCACAGTGTAGCCCTACCGCAGACCAGAATTCGGTTTAGTTTGCGGAAGTTCACCTCCTGGGGACCGTTTCGACCAAACGCGAACGTCCCCCTGTAGCTGATCGTAATGTGGCCGTAGCGTGCCAGATAAAATTTGTTACTTCCAATGGTGGACAACGAAGACAAGCTAGCTGCCGGGCTGCCACATAGCCGCGTGATCTCGCCAACCAGCTGGGATAATCGGTAGAATTTTGCCTCTTGCAGCAGCTGGTCTAATTCGTTGAAGTTGCACGGAAGAATCAGTTTGTCGTTTCGCAGGTAGTCCAGGATGTGGCGAAAAAGAGGTCCGTTGCGGTCGATGAAGTAACAGCCGTCCGCCATTTTCATCACCCAGTCTGACGACTCGTGCTCAGCCGAATTTTGGGTTAGTTCCTCCTGGCTCATGAGAACTGCAAAGGTTGTGGCCAGCAACGAACTGGGGTCCTTGGTCAGCGTGGCTAGCGTTGTGGCCATCTTCAGCCCGCCGACGTTTAGAGTTACCACTTCTGTTCGCATATTGTCGTCACTATCGAAGCAATTTGCCTAGAAAAGAAAACACGTCAGTTGTCCACTTTTTTAGAAGAGTTCATTCTTGCATGATGGTCATCATGAAACGCGGCTAGTTTCGATTGCTGTAAAGACGACAGTTAACGTTAAAGCAAGCGTGTTTAGTGTCAGTGGCTCTAGCTGCTGGCGATTTTAACACCTCCAGATTGTGGATATGGATATGGCGCCCATATGAGCAGTTCAGCTGTGACCAGTAAACGGACAGCGGTTGATAATATCAAGTTTTGGCAGAGGACAGATCCATAGGCAAATCTGTGACCTATAAAATGGCCACGTAATGTTACGACGTTCCCATAACGATGCGAAAATGTCTCGTCAGTAATGAGGTCCCCACCCCTGCGTTTCTCTTGAACCTAGGAAGATCAAAGGTTGGAAGGGACGACCTCGTCAATAAGCCATGTAACAGTTGGAAACCCTTCTGTATTTATCGAACCCATGAAATAACATGAAAATTTGCCCTAACGATCTTCGGCATATTTCGAACCAGTACCTTGCAACAGAAGCCCATAAGGAGGACTTGGCAGACGCCCTCCGCGCTGATGCACGAATTAAGGGTGGTGAATTCTTTTCATAGAGCTGGCTGCTTCCTGGCCGGCGGAATTGAACTCTGCTGAAGTGCAATCAAGATGAAACAGAATGAATCCGAGAAAGAGCGAAGAACGAAAGCTGCATCATTTACGTCCCTCGAATGGTTAATGGATGACAAATCTGTAGCAGGAAATTATGCCTGAATTTGGAAGTACTGTCAAATGATGGAAATGATTTTAATTATTATTTTCATTATTCTTCCTAATTCCACGAGATGGAATACCGCTTCGAAAAGGAGTTTCTTTTCCCCAGTTCGTATAGGAGGGCTTCGAGCGAACTAGGCATCACACAGTGTCACCTGGAATCCCCTTTGGCTTGGTTGGCTGAAGGGCAAACAGACATTCTTTCCAAGATGCCTGGCAAACTTGGATAGTATCAATAACCATTTGTTAAAGTCGAGATAAATAACTAGTACACAAAAATGACCCCCTCCATCATGCAGCTCAGATTTGATTACAGCGGACTACATCGCACGACTAACGGATGACTGACGAATTTAGACAGTAATAGCTTGATGTGAAAGGTGCTGCTAGCACCCATTTGGAATACTTCGACTATGGTGGGATGGGACGATGGGTTAAGGAGAGATGTGCAAACTTGCAGCTATAAATCGAACGATACAGCGAGCGTAGGCACCGGGACTAGGAACTTGTGATCTCCGTTAATTACGCAGAAGGATAGTCAATTTCTGTTGGTAATGTGTTTAACTGTGTGTATATGAATATCCAATACCAGCTTTCAGCTTTTCGCCTTTCGAAGTTAATGAAGATTAATAGAGAGCTTATAGAAGAAGTGG